GCGGGGGTGGGGCTGGGGGCCACTCCCTGGGCCTGGTGGGGGCTTCTGGAGACACACCTCCTCCAACAAGGCAACGCCTCAGAATCCTAATCAAGTGGTCCCACCAGACAGGAACCAAGTATTCAAATATATGTATGCTCCTAGGGACCATTCTCATTCAAACTATCCCAAGAATCATGTTTGTAATCTAGCAGAGACTCAACCAGAGCTTGGGTAAGGTACGGATGAAGTTAAACAGCCTGTGCACCACAGGGAATTGTGGGAAGTGACACTGTAGCTGAGACAGAACATGACCCTGGGGATTTTGTGTGGGACCCTAGGGGACCAGGCAGGTGCACTACAGATTTAAAAGGTAGACTAACAATGTTGTCTTTTTTGATTGGCCACTGTGTGCAGAGTCTAGGTTAGGAGAGATACTGGGGGAGCCAGGAAACTACTTAAGGTAGAAGGTAGCATTCTTGACCACAGGGTTACACAGAGAAACCCTGTCTTGAAAAACCAAACCAAAATAACCGGCACCTTCAGTGGGAAACTGAACATGAAAGGACTGGTATCGGCTCAGGGTACCCCAAGCTCAAGTTCACAGCACAAAGGAGATTTATATGTTCCAGAGGGACAAGGGCAGGGAATAAGAGACAAAGACTGGAGACAGAGGACAAGGGAGAAGGGGAAGGGAACAAGGGTGAGGGGAAGAGGTATTTGTTCCAAGAGAGGTGGGGACAAAGGACTGCCTCTGGATAAAAAGATAGATGTGACACATAGACAAATGGCAATTTATAAAGGCAAAAGGGGAAACCTGGATTTAGGATGAGTTGTTTTGTTTTAATTGGGCATGTTAATTAAGTGAACCAAAAGGGGCTTCTGCTTGCTGGTCTTCCATACTTGAATAAATGGACCTTTGTAGTCAGTCTCAGGAGGAGGAGGTTGCCAAATAAGGAAACAGACCTTGGTGGCTAAAATGTCATCTAACAGTTTTTAGCAAGGCAGAGGAAATGGGGGAGAAGGGCAAGGCCTGCCAGAGCCATGTTTACCATGCTTAGGCTGGCTAGAGTCTCAAACTCAGAGATCTGCCTGCCTCTACTTCTCAAGTGCTGGGATTAAAGGCGTGCACCACCACTGCCCAGCTCTTTGATGTAAATTTTTATTATTGATTGATTGATTGATTGATTGATTGATTTTTTTCGAGACAGAGTTTCTCTGTGTAGCTGTGTAGACCAGGCTGGCCTCGAACTCACAGAGATCCACCTGCTTCTGCCTCCCTGCTGCTGGGACTAAAGGCATGCGCCACCACCACCACCCAGCTTGATGTGAATTTTTAATAATTATTTAAACAACAACAACCAGGGG